GTGGTTTCCATCAGGAGAATTTAAGCCTGTTGAGGGCAGGGCTGGTTCCATAACTATTTGGATCCCCAGTGTCTTGTATATAGTAAACACTTAATAAAAGCTTGTTGCATCAATTTAATAGGATCCTATAATTAGAGCTAGAAGGGAACTCCCAAATGTCATCTAGTAAAACCCTCTTATTTTGCTGATAAGGAAAGTATCATTAGAGGTAAGCAGTATTGTTATTTGTCCTTTGTTTTCAAACAGGACCAATGACACCATGGAGTGATGTCTTGACTTGCCAGTGAATTGGACTGAAGTGAGGAAGAGTTGCACAAAGTTGTTAGTCTCAGTCTCTCTTCCAGTGTTATCAAAGTCCAGTGGCAGGACAAAAGTGAAGATGACTGGTGATGGCCAGGCATGTAGTAGATGAGCTTTGGGTCTTCAAAGTTTGGCCAAGCTGTAAGTGCTCTACATCATCTGCTTTAGCTATCTTCATGTCTGTTGCAACAAATTGTTCCAATCCACCCATTCCAGCATGGGAGGTCTTCATTTGTTTGGGGTAGACATCACCCCTAACTCACCAACAGATTTAAGGCCTGTCAGTTACCCTCAACCTGGTTAAGCCCATCTGTTAGGACAATGTGGCCACTGTACATGCTACAGCTTCTTGGAGCCACAGGTGAGAGCTGGGTGCTAGGTAGACACCAAAGGTGGATGAGTGGCCCTGAAAAGGGCTCAGCAAGCCCTTGCACCAGAGTGGCTAGTCCTCCTGAACATCCCATACACCCAAGTAAGTAGTATAGATGAGATATGAACTCAGATCCTTTCATTCAAGATCTTGTCCTCTCCCCCCTACCATACTCCCTTTTTTAAGCCATAGAAAGTTAAGTGATTGTAATTAATGTCAGTAGCGGGACTGGAATCCAGGTCTTCCTGACTGTAAGCCTAGCAATCTATATAGCACTCCACACTTTTCAATAAAAACAAAAATGAAAAATAACAGATATACCTCTATTTGAGCACTTTCATAGAAACTAAATATTATCCATTATCACTTAAAGTTAAAAGGCTATTTAATCAATCAACAATCATTCATGGACTACTTAGAGTATGCAAGGCAGTGTGCTAGGTCACAAAAGGGATACAATAAAGTACAGGGAATAGTCTCTGCCTTTAATGAACTTACCGTATAGTTAGGAAAGGAAGATAAATGCATGGAAATATTATCAACATTACACAACAATATATAAGTGCCTGAGGAAAGGTCTAGTTACTAACTGGTGTTAATTGAGGTGGACAGACCTCAAATCAAGATTTTGTCCAAAGGCATTACAATAAAATATGCTTGTGGTTTTAATAATGAAATTCTCAAAAATATAGTTACAAATATGCTTATTTGTACTATTGTGTGGTAAGACCTTTATTATTAGTGAGGTACTCCATGTTTATAATAATTTATAATATGAACAATTTTTAAACTACACATTTATATTAGAGGAATCACATTTGATAGTTAAGTAACACAAGTGGATTTTCAGACATTTACTGGGGAACAAAAAATTGCACTGAGGTGCAAAGACATCGGCAACATGAATTTAAAGTCGAACAACCACTATGTGCTAACTATGTTAGGGATAAGGATGAGTTGGATGAGGTTCTCATTGGCTTGGGAAAGCCAATTGTTAAATTTTCAGTGAGACCATTTATGCATCAGATATGGGTAAATACTATAAATCAGGGCTTGATTTGTTGTTCTGTTAATTGTCCAGACTAGGGGGTCTAGAGTTCAGGAGTGGGGAACCGGAGTCCTCAAGGCCACATGTGGCCCTCTAGGGCCTCAAGTGCAGCTATTTGACTGAATCCAAACTAATTTGTTTTATGAAGTTTGGATTCTGTTAAAGGGCTGCACCTGAGGACCTAGATGGCCACATGTGGCCTCGAAACCGTGGGCTCCCCACCCCTGGACTCTAATATTACAGCTTCAAAATTGTATACTTTTGTTTTTTTCCTGGAGAGTTGGTTGTTAAATGTATCACTGAATTAACCTCTCCAGAATTCAAAAATTTCACAGAAGGCAAAAACATTCTGACAACAATGTCATATAGGATGTCTTTCTCATTTGACTAACCTGGCAGTTCTGGGCTTATAGTTAAGGGGTACTTTAAACAAAATTCTTACAATAAACATTGATTAGTTACTTACTTAAAATCTAAAAGGGAATATAAGACATATAAACTAAAGAATTAGCTATAGATCAAGGCCTGTCATTGGATAGACATTGACATCAGCAGAAGTAATGCTGATATGAAATTAGCCTATGCTACTATTTCAGGAGAAATACATAAACATATATTAAGTATATCAGTCTAGTTTGTTCTTTAAAAAAGTGGAGAGAAGCTAACAGCAAAGATTTTTTTCTTATATTATATATATTTTCTGTATTCTAACATATATAATAAATTTCTTAATAAAGGTAAGTATATAGAATTGAAATTAGTAAACCCTGAAGAATCTAGATTTGAGAGATCCATAGACTAATGGGATCAGACCAATAAAATCTTATTTTCAGGAGTCCATGTGCTTCTGTCTAGGAAATAAGGGGAGAGGGAGAGACAGCTGTTCCTATATAAGAAAAAAGAAGTCATGCTCTTCTGATTAATATGAAGAGTACCCACTCCACTGATTTGATTGAGAAGCAAGTGGGTAAATTGGTAAGCATACGTGGTCCAAAGAAATCCCCAATATCCTCAGCAGAAATTCTATTGGGAAGAAGGAAAATGAATTTCTCCATATAGTATAGAAAACAGCCTCACCAAGTGTCTGTGAATATTTTGAATAGTTTAGTGCTTCCATCAGAATTTGCAATGAAATTTTACTCATCAAAATTCTAAGGTAGCTTTCTATTTTACAGAGTTATCCAAACAGTTCCAAATACTAGAACCAATTAACAAAACAATCTTCTGATTTACCAAAATTAAACTGGGCTGTGGAATGATTTCATAAAATGGGAAGCCTAAAATGCAATTGACTCTGTTCTGTGAAACCTTTGGGATCCAATGAAGGAGTGTGCTGGGGGAGAAAGTGCTTTCAAAGAATGTGACAACACTAACTGATGAGCATTCCAGACTCATGGGGGAAATTCTCCTTATGTCAAAAACTCATCTACAGCATACAAATATTCCAGTAGTCCTAACATCTGGAGCTTTAAAATTAATAATCCCACTAATTTCAAAGCAACTCACTGTCTATGACCTTTTAATTCCAAATGTTTTGTAGGCCTTAACAAACTGGTAAAAATCTAATCTTCTTTATATAACTCTTATAATAGAGATGAAAGTTTTGTATCGCAGCTTTCATTCTAAACTGAAAAATGAAGACAGAATTCACTTTTTTTTAATTACATTTTGGAAAATTTAAAAGGCCAATGATATTCTCAAAACATATATTCACTGCTTCAAATAAGAGAATATAATAGGCGCACACCACCTGGTTTAAATTGGGAAACAAGAGAAAGCAATTCAGGAGAAGTTAATCTTGCAGATTATATAAAAGAAGTGGGCTGGGGAGTTTCCAGTAAAACACTGTGGTCACCAAAGCTTGCCATTTTCTCTTTCTTCCTGCATAAGACACATCAACTCATAATGTATGCTAGGGATACTAGTGTATATGTGAAGATAGATGAGTATCTATGGATTGCCTATGATCTCAACTACCAATACTTTCTGAAGTAGCTGCGCAAATTCCAAGAGTCTTTTTTCATCTGAACAATAGCACGACAGGTAGCAGAATATGGAGAAAAAGTTTTTTTCAATGTTCTTTTTGTTCACTAATTCAACCCAATGTCCTCTCAAAATGTCCCTTTCCCTTAGGTTTTTTTTTCCCCCCAAACTCCAATATTTGTCACTAAAAGTGATTAAGCCTCTGAAAAACTGTGACTATCAAGGATTAAAAATAGAACCTACTTAATCCCCACCATACAAGTGATTGTTAGGTTAACTCATCCTACGCCTTTGGAGCTCTACCCTCCAATAGCTTTGCATAAGTACTAGAATAGAAACCATTAAGGGAAATAACATGGAGATTACTGCTCTTAGCATTTAATAGTCTATTGGATTCTTTGTGTTTGTTTGCATTTGTTTAGAATAAGTATCTTAGAGAAAATTAAGTCCTAAGATGAGGGTAGTTTTCGAAATCCTAGAAAGGACTTTTGGGGACAGTTGAACTTTTCTTTGTGTGTTTGTGACAAGACATAATGTGACAATAGATACACCATTTTCTGGTGGAAAAAACACTGATGATACCTTCTATTCTGACATTTGACTAATGTAAAAAAAATGTGATTGGTAGTTTAGGGATAATGGTTTAATTTTTTAAAGTATCACAAACTCCACTGTGGCAATGGCAAACACTAGCTATGACTGCTTGAGGCCCAACTAATATCATTGACAATTCTGGCATGAGGTCAAAGGAACAATCCCCAAAGAGCCCTACTGCCCATAGCTTCATCAGAGGCACAAGGAAACAAATACAAAAATTGAGAAGGATGGCTCAGTCGGGCTATTTCTGAGTCTTGAGCTGAGCCAAGGATTCTGTACACCTCCAGGCAAGGTTACGAACAACAAAAGTGAAATTACAAACAGAAAGAGTTCTAAGGGACTGACACCCCATGTAATGATGTTTACATGGATGGGTAATACAGTAAACCTGATTCACATAGACTAGAATTATAGAACCTGACATTCTTAGACTCTTCACAGTTTATGAGGCACTTTGCCATGTATTATTCCATTACATAATATATATAAAACAAAAAGGGACAGAAAGATGGATTTTTAATGAATAGGCTTGGGTTATCTCCTGTACATAACATACTATATTATGCATATGATACAGTTTCACTCTTGTAGCCTACAGGAGAAGAGCAATTTCACTGGATTATATCCTACAAAACAGATATTATTTTGATGACGTACAACCAGACTTATATTTTATTAGTAATAGAAAACAGGTCACATTACCCGCATAAATGCCTGATGCTTCTTGCAGTTTTCTGTAATATTGGATACGTTGATGCTTCCTGAAATCACATCAGATGTTCCATTAGAAGAAAAGTAAAATCTTGATGGGGTCTCGGCCTTTCTGCCCACATCCAGGCTCACATTATAAAGCAAAACTGCAACATCAAAGAAAGGATAGCCATGAGCATCGATTCTCCGAAAGTAACTGACATTAAGGAATCTGTATACTCTATTATTGTTGCCAATAATGCTGTTTAATGTTGCACTAGATGCTATATAAATATCTCATGTTCTTCATCAGATGGACTTCTGAAAACACTTGAAAGATTTAAGAAAAAATTGTTAAAATGCACACAAAATTATTCACATAAAAGTTAAGAGGAATTTACATATTGTTTCACTAAAAATTATGACTGAAACTAGGCATAGAACAACATCCTACACCATGTACCAAGATAAGGTCAAAACAGCTACATGATTTAGATTTAAAGAGTGATACTATAAGCACATTAGAAAAGCAAGGAATAGTTTATCTGTCAGATCCATGGAGAACAGAAGAATTTGTGACCAAACAAGAGACAGAACATTATAAAATGCAAAGTGGATAATTTTGATCACTTTAAATCAAAAAGTTTTTGCACAAACAAAGCCAATGCAACCAAGATTAGAAAGCAGAAAGCTGGGAAAGAGTTATTACAACCAGTATCTCTGATAAGGGCCTCTTTTCTAAAATATATAGAGAATTATGTCAAATTGATAGGAATACAAATCATTCCCCAACTGATAAATGGTCAAAGGATTTGAGTAGGCAGTTTTCAGATGAAGAAGTTAAAGCTATCTATAGTCACATGAAAAAATGCTCTAAATCATTATTTATTAGAGAAATACAAATTAAAACAACTCTGAGGTACCATATCACACCAATCAGATTGGCTAACATGACAAAATGGGAAAATGATAAATGTTGAAGAAGATGTGGGAAAACTGGAACACTAATTCATTGTTGGTGGAGTTGTGAAATGATCCAAGCATTCTGGAAAGTAATTTGGAACTGTAAGAGATGAACTCTCAGAAGTGTAGCCTCCTCAAAGGTCAACAATTCTTGATTATTGCTTTCAAAATCCTCCCCAGCTCAGACCCTGTTTTTAAGCACATAACAGAAAGAATAAGTCCTGCCCCCAACCTGAACTGTTTGCCCTTAGCTTCCCTCCTTTCTCTTGTCTCTGGGATAAGGGAGAAGGGGGTTGGGGAGAGGAGATTGCAGTGGCTTTCGGTTTCCTAGGAATTACCTAACTCATGGGAATTCAGCCTTAAACCCCTCCTGATCATCCCACCACTGCTAAGTCAGCATTAGGTTTACTAAATAAGGACATGTATGTTTGGATTGGCTATACCCTGTTTCCTTGTCTTTGAATTTTCTCGCCTAGAATGTAAGTCTGCTTTCCCAACCAATGGGAGTAAGGGATAGTGGTGGGTGAAGGTTTTTGCATTAGGGTATATAATCACATTTTGCTTTCTGTGCCTTGCTTCTCTCCTCCTGGAAGTATACCGGGGAGAGCAGATGCCCCTTCTCATGAGATTGTACTAAAAGTAACTTTTGCTTTCCACCTTGAGAGGTCTCTGGATTTAATTTGGGTTAGGGTCACTGTCCCACACAGAACTATGCCCAAAGGGCTATAAAACTGTGCCTGCCCTTTGTTCCAGCAATACCACTACTAGGTCTCTGTCCCAAAGATATCATAAAAAAAGGAGAAGGACCAATATGCACAAAAGTGCTTACAGCAGCTCTTTTTGTGGTAGTCAAGAATTGGAAATTGAAGGTATGTCCACCTATTGGGGAACGGCTGAACAAGTTATGGTATACGAATGTAAGGGAATACTAATGTTCCATAAGAAATGATGAGCAGATGGATTTCAAAAAAACCTGGAAAGACCTACATGAGCATCAAGTAAGCCGAACCAGGAGAACACCGTACACACTAACGGCAACACTGCAATGACCAACTTGGATAGACTTAGCTCTTTTCACCAATGCAATGATCTAAGACAATTTCAAAAACTAATAGTGGAAAATGCTATCCACATTTAGAGAAAGAACCATAGAGTCTGAATGCAGATTGAAGCATACTATTCTCTTTTTTGTTTTTTTTTTTTTCTCATTTTTTTTTATCTTTTGTTCTGATTCTTCTTTCACAGCATAACTAATATGGAAATACTTTTAATATGATAATACATGTATAGCCTATATCAGATTGCATGCTGTCTTGGGGAGAGGGTAGGGGAATGGGGGATTTAGAACTCAAAATCTTATAAAAGTGAATGGTCAAAACTAAAAATAAGTAAATCAATTAATCTAAAAAATGAGAGAGTCTAAATGCAAAAAAAAATTATGACTGTTTTATTAGAAATTATGTTAAGCAAAGTACAGTAGATACCCATTTGCTGATGAAAGTAGGTTCAACTATTCTAAGAAAAATCTTATTTTACTACCAAAAAGTTTCAGCTAAAATTTAAACAAAAACAAACAAAAAATAACTAAATAAAATATATTCTATTAATTTTTACTAGGCCAGATGTGCCCTACAGAAATAATGTGTTTTGTAAACTGTGAATTGTAAAAGTGATCTATCATTACCTTTCCAAACTGAATAAATCATCCTCTTGAGTGCAAATTGGGCACTTTAGGAGATGAAATAACTCTTATAATTCACTACAGTACCATTTAATGCACTTGAGTCATCATCCTCTCAAGGGAATCTAAAAAAATGAACAGATTTCCCAAAATGCTAGTTTATGTTTTAGAAATAACTTAATCAGTTCATTCACTTTTTCCAAGAACTGATGTGTAGCAAAAGAGGTACACAACCAGCATTTACTGTCACAATAGCAGAGGCCAAGCACTTCTGGGCAAAAACTACACATTTCCAAATCTTAGCTCAGTGGAAACTTTTGTAGGTAAATAAGATAGAACCAATTCATTAAATGTAAAATGGTAGCAAGCAAAGAGGGATTGAAGGAAAGAAAACAAACCACTTCCAATAAGATACATAAAATGCTAGTTTATGCATATGCATTGTCGAGCATTGTCTCCCTCAGAGCCCTTCTCAGGCAACTGAAAAAGATACCTGTAGCAATGCGGGAGTTACCTTTGAGATTTCAGGACTGCATTTAGGAGCACTTTTCTATTGATAGTAAAAGAAGGTTACAGAGGAAAGAAAAGGGAAAAATAATTTGTAGTCAACCAGGATCTTATAAACTGGCTTTTATGTATTGCTATGTCATTCACTCTAGGGCCACCCACCCCCTCCAACTGGCAGTTCTGACTATATCCTGATAAGGAATCTGTCCTCTGCCTGTTTCCTCAACTGGAAAATGGGTATTATAATAATAGCACCTACCTGTGAAAATCAAATGAGATAATATTTATGAAGCACTCAGCACAGTGCTTGGCACGTAGTAGGCAAATAACAAATGATTCCCTCCTTCCTTCCTTCCTTCCTTGCTCCCTCCCTCCCTTTTCTTCCTTCCTTCCTTCCTTCCTTCCTTCCTTCCTTCCTTCCTTCCTTCCTTCCTTCCTTCCTTCCTTCCTTCCTTCCTTCCTTCCTTCCTTCCTTCCTTCCTTCCTTCTTCCTTCCTTCCTTCCTTCCTGTATCCCTTACTGAAGTTCACCAATGTTCCTGTTGGACAACTATAGCAAGAAGTACTGAGTCGGGATGTTTCCAGACAATTACTTGCATTGCATCTGATCTACCAAGTTGGGGGATATGTCAGAAATATGAGCATCATTCTTACCTCATTTTACTCCCATTACAATTTAATTTTGACTGAGGTTTTGACCGTCTGTTGTTGTTTTGACCTTCTGTATGTTAGGGAAGGGGAAAACAGGCATTTATATATAGTGCTTACTCCAAGCCAGGCACTATGCTAAGCACTTTGCAAATATTACATAATTTAATCACCACTCTCATTTACCATTAGCTATACCTATAATGTTAGCAGGTAGTCACTGAGCCATCAGTTAATGTTGGCTGCTTCTGGTTCTAACTTTGCCACTAACTTGCTGTGTGGCTTTTGGTCAATCATTTAAGCCCTCTAGAGAGGTCTCAGTTTTTTCAACTCTAAAATGGGGAAGCTGAAGTAGATCATTTTTAGTGTTTCTGCTCTCACATACTCTATGTAATCTATAATTTAAGATGATACTTGGGCTGGAATGACAACCTTTGAATTTTACTGTCAACTTTTAATTACTTATGTGTGAACTAGAAAATTTGTGAATTATTTATATAAACACAGGCAGACACACATATACACATTGATGCTCCTATCATGTCTTCTCAAATAATTTAAACTATTTTTAATATTGGCCTATATATAAAGTAATTAGGAACATAATCAGATTTTATGTATAAATACTAGAATATTATCTATGAAACTCATATTTCAAAGTCAAAGATAAATGATTTTTGGATTATTCACGTCGGTGCTCTCCTGCTACTAGTACATATAACTGAGAATTGGCTATTTATGTATGTAACTGGCCATACTCCCAGAAGCTGGTTTGTTGTCATAATAAATCATTAAGAAGCAGGCTGTTCTTTATTTAAATTAGAGTTTTGTTCTGAACTTATATCGCATCAAAACTTCAATGATAAAAACTGGCTGGCCCCTATAAAAACACTTTCTTCCCATCAATCCATCTTGTCAGTATAGCCCACTAGAGGCAAAATATGGCAGCCTACTATAAATGAGCTTTGGTGGCATCTTTCCATTATAAATAGACTTCCCAGATACCCTCATGGTTGGTTGTTCTACAATACATTTGTGAGAAGAACCTTCTCTTTAGGCCCCACCTAAGGCACCTATATGGTTACCTCTTCCTCATTACTCATCTGTTTCACAAGGATAGGGAAAGTAGAGGAAGAAGACACAGATCAAGAATAATACAGTCACTAAGAGTCTGCTCTCAGGATTTTTGACACATCAGGACCAACACTATTTGGCAAATATTTAAGTGGTGCATTGAGAAGCATATATTCATGCACTAAATACATAAAGGTAGACTTACCAATATAGCCTGGGACCTCTCGGCCTCTATATGAAAAGCAGAGGGTCAGGTCCATGCATACAGAAGGTTGTCCATTTTCAAAACATTCAAATTTGGTTCGGTTTACTGATTGAGGATGTTTTAAAGAAGCCTCAACAATCACTACTGGTCTTGTCCTACAAAGGAAATAAAGTGAATAATTTTAATTATACAATAATTTACCATTAAGGAGATCCACTAATGCCTATGTCTTAAAAAATGAGGTAGTCATAATTTCAAGCAGTTATTTTATCAATGTCTGCATATACATATACAGACAACTGCTTCAAGCACTGAATCTAAGTTAATAGTTCATTTAAAAATTCATTAAAATATTTTAATTCTACTTGAAGACATTTATTTAAGCATAGAATTCTGGTGAAAAATCTTTAAGGTCAATGACCAAAGTTCAAAATACCACAGAGAGCATTATGAGGTCACAATCACCTTGCTAATTTTGAAAACTGTCTTTCATCATTTACAATTAAGCCCAATTGTCTTTAAGCACTGAAATGTATCAGCCTTACCTCAACACCACAGCAGAATCAGACCAAAAGGCACCAACTGCTACATCTGGAAGGGGGGGATGGGAATCAACACAGATTGATGATCACCATTAGTCAAAAGGAACTACTTCTCAGGCATAAATACTGTATAGCATAGTCACTTTTTCACTGTATCAAAACACCACTGACAAATAATTAATTAGATGTGATATGCTAACATCTCAGAATACATCTATCAGGTTTGTCTTAAATCAGCTCATTTAGAATGACCCACATTCTGACCATGTTAAGTATTTGTAATACAGAGAAGAGCCTGTTAAAACTGAATTGGTATTCAACCATGAGGAGAGAAGCTTCCACACAGGAATTCTCTCTTTTCTTCCTCCCTGGTCTCCTCTTATTAAGATGTAATATCTCTTTTAATATCTGCTTTTTAGTTTTTTTCAAAACCTGCTATCCAAAGGACCATAGGTCATAGATTTAAAGCTGGAAGAGTCCTTAGAAAGCATCAAGTATAATCTTACCATTTAATAGATGAGGAAACTGAGGCCCAGAGAAATCAGGTGCCTTTCCTAAGGTCACAGACATAGTTGTTGTTGTTCAGTTATTTTAGGCATGTTTGACTCTTCATGATCCCATCTGGGGTTTTCTTGGCAAAGATATTGGAGTGGTTTGCCATTTCCTTCTCCAGCTCATTTTACAGATGAGGAAACTGAGGCAAACCAGTGAAGTAAGTTGCCCAGAATCACACAGCTAATAAGTGTCTGAGACTGGATTTGAACTCAGAAAGATGAATTTTCCCTGATTCCAAGTCCGGTGCTCTATCCACTGCATGCAGATATAGTACCAGGATTCAAAGTATCTTGGAATGTAGAACTGAAGAGGCTTTAAAAATTATCTAGTCCTACTCCCTCATTTTTCTGGGATAAGGAAAGTAAGGCTTAAAGTTAAGTGACTTGCCTAAAAGGAAGAAAGGCATAAGAGAAAGAACCAGAAACCTCAGTCACTCCAGGTCACCTGATACTGAACCAATCTTCTTTCCACAGCACTGAGACAGGGAAGATGATGAAGTCAAGGAGAAAGCTAGGCTTCCTCCAGAAATGCTCAGTTATTTTAGAGAAAGCACCCAGCCAATTGTCTAAATGAAGTCCAGTTTTGTAAGTGGACAAAATCTTGACTAGGCTAAAGATTTTCCAGATGAGTCTTGTATCATTTTGTGACAAAACACCTTCTACCAACTGTCTTATTTACATGTATAAAACAAATATTTTCATTCACCTGGATATCCATTATGATCTGCATCAATGCCTCCAGATACTGATTGTCCAAACATGCTTAAGGACTGGCGGATCTGAAGTCCTTGGATTCTCTGTAAAAACAGGTGAACTGCATGGGAAGATGTTTTGGAAAGCCTCATTTCAGTAAGGAAATAACGAATTAATTCTGGCTCTGAAATGTTCTCTTTCCATGACATGAGATCTAGGAATTTGGTCACTATCTTGCGACAAAGAATGAATATTCATAATATTCATTCAAAGAAAAACTACTTTCTTCCAAAAATGTGAAAAGGCTAAGTTTCAGAGTACAGAACTCTCAGCATATGTCCTTTTGCCAGTTCCATCCCACCCTATCCCCACATGTCTCTTCCTTAGTCTCAACTGCTGAACGTAGCTCTAAAATAATGCAGCTATAGAGTATGAGAAGGATCCTGATCAAATGAGTTATTTATATAGCACTTAGCACAGTGCCTGGCATACAGTAGGTGCTATGTAAATGTTAGCTACTATTATTGTTATTTTATTACCTAAAACCTCGCTAAAAATCATCATATTTAGCTGGCTTGTTTTTAACAAATGCTAACAAAAACAATCTGTGCTAAATACGATATCTAGAAATTAATCCTTATGTCTTATTTTAATCTATAGATGCTGATTTATGAGCTCTGGACTATTAGCCAAGTATTTAAAAATAGTCTATTGGGTCATATGTACACATACATAGTAATGGGCAGCTAGGTGGCCTGGTGGATAGAGAGCCAGGCCTGGAGTCAGGAAGACTCACCTTCATGAGTTCAAATCTGGCCTCAAACACTAGCTGTGTGACCTTGGGCAAGTCACTTAATTCAATTTGCCTCAGTTTTCTCATCTGTAAAATGAGCTGGAGAAGGAAATGGCAAACCACTCCAGTATCTCCACCAAGAAAATCCCAAATAGGCTCATGATGAGTTGGACACGACTGATACAACTGAACAACACAGAGAAGTAAATCATTCACTTTAACCTAAGACCCCATTTGAATATTCTACACATCAAAAAATTCTCTTTAGTCTCAAATGCCACTTATATACCAGTATCCTTGGACTAAGTCTCTCTTCTTCAAATTGGAGTGAGCCATCTTTCTCAAAGTTTGACATTTGCTCATGTCCTCATCCATTCTCAAAAAGCAATTACAAAATGTGGAGATAAAATGAGGGATTATGAAATCTTATTGAAGGTTACTGAATATTTGTCCAGTCACCTGAGCACTTATTTCTTAATCTATAAATAAATCATGTATGAATGTCAGTAGATGGACATTTCTTTAATTAATTTGATTTTCTAAACTAGGTTTTTGCATCAAACCTGTACTTTATTAGCACAGGGAGTTCCTGGTGAGGAAATTCTCTCCACCATCACAGACCAGCAGCAGCTCACCTATAACTTACAGTCTCAGAGAGTTTCCTGGGTCACTAAACAGTTGCGTGACTTAGCCAAACTCACATGGAATTTGTGACAAAGGGAAGACCTAAACCAAGTCTTCCTGACTCCAAAGCCAGCTGTTATTCAGTATTCCAAATACTAATTTGTCTTACTCCTTAGCTGTCTAACAAAATACTAAATGCATTATACTTTTCTCTTAACACAATCTACACACAAAGATCTGCTTTCTCTATTGTTGTTGTTTAGTCAATCAGTTGTGTCCAACTCTTGGTGACCCCGTTTAGGGTTTTCTTGGCAAAGATACTGCAGTGCTTTGCCATTTCATTCTCCAAATCATTTTTACAGATGAGGAAACTGAAGCAAACAGGGTTAAGTGACTTGCCCAGAGTCATACAGCTAGAGAGTATTCAAGGCCTGATTTGAACTCAGGTCTTCATGTATCCAGGACTGGCACTCTAACCACTGTGCCATCTATGTGTCCTGCTTTTTCTATCAGGAACCACAATTATTCAATCCTCAAATCAAAGTGGAAAGGTCCATTTTTAAAATTGTTATGATTCCAGGGGTAGGGAACCAATGGCCTTGAGGCCACATGTGGCCCTCTAAGTCCTCAAGTGCAGCCCTTTTATAAGTGATTCAAAATCCAATAAAATTTAGGCTCCTTGATGGCAAAGCTGGTTTCATTTTTTTTTTATATCCCCAGTACCCACAGTAGTAAAGTGCCATGCACATAGCAGGCACTTAATAAATGCTTGTTGATTGATTCACAGGCTGTAGAAATGTTGAATTACTATCAGTATTGAAATAAAATAGCTATTTTATATGAGTTTTACAAATTGACAGAACCTAATAAGTCAGCACAAGATAAGAATGTTAGGGCTGTAAGATGCCTTAAATGTAATCTCATCCAATAATTCTCTTGTTCTACAGATAAAGCCTGGAAAGCTAAAATGACTTTGCTGGTGAATCCAGAGACAGGACTGAAACCCAGATTTTCTGACTCAATTTCATAGCTTTTTTCATTAAGCAATACATTCTCCAATTCTCTCTCTCTCTCTCTCTCCTCTCTCTCTCTCTCTCTCTCTCTCTCTCTCTCTCCTCTCTCTCTCTCTCTCCCTCCCGCCCTTTCTCACTCTCCTCTCTTTTTCTCTTCTCTCCTGCCTCTCTTTTCTTTTTCTCTTCTCTTTCTTCTTTTTCTTCTCCCCTCCTTTTCCCTCTTCTTCCTTCCTTTCCCCTCTCTTCTGTGTCTCTCCTCTCCTCCTCTTCCCTCCCCACCTTTCCTTTCCTTTCTCTGTCTCTCTCTCTCTCCTTCCTCTCCTCTCCCCTCCCTGTCCCTTTCTCTTTTTCCTTCCCTCCTCTTCTCTTCTCTTCTCTTCTCTTCTCTTCTCTTCTCTTCTCTTCTCTTCTCTTCTCTTCTCTTCTCTTCTCTTCTCTTCTCTTCTCTTCTCTTCTCTTCTCTTCTCTTCTCTCTCTTTCTCTCTCTCTCTCTCACACACACACACAAACTCACACACATTATCTCCCTCTCACAAGCCTATTAATATTAGTCATTTAAAGAAAGCTTTTACTGCAATGTCTCTGGAAAAAACAGAATACTCACTTGTGAAAAGGATGGTGATATCCCATCTATTCTGCCATTGTAAATATAAATAGCTCCATGTAAATCATCTTCTTGAGGAGCCCCAATAGCAACATCTACAAAAGCAGTAAGAAAAAATAAATATTATTCAGAAAAATTTGAGCAAAAATAACCATGTACTTGTGAAGTACAAGTCTTTGGTTATGCTAATTTTGATGACTAACCTTTATGACATTTTAGTTCAAACTGAAAAGAATAAACATTCACTCAGGCAAACACATACCAAATGTCAATGTAGTTTAATAATAACTCTCATTCACATAGTCCATTAAGGTTTACAAAGTGCTTTTCATAATTATCTCATTTGATCCTAGCAAATGCCCTATGAGCTACATGCCATTATTATCCCCATTTTATAGATAAGGAAAATGAGGTTCAGTGAGGCTGACTTGCCCAGTCACATGGTTAATAAGAATCTGAGGGAAGATTTGAAACTCAGTCTTCCTCACTTCAAGTCCAAGTCTATCCACTATGCCATGCTGTCTTTCCTAAGAAAAAAGGAAAGATTTAAAAATCTATAAAACCTGCCCTAAAAGATAACATTTCTTGAATCACTTTAGTCAAAATATAAATAATAGAAAACAGATTTTTTTGCTATGTAAATATCAAAATGGGTTACTATAACTCAAAAATGTATTACCCAATGGTCAAAATAGTGATAATAAGCTTGTGTTTATAATGCTAGTTGAGCCACTAGAGAATTATGAAAGAGAGTAGTTAAGAACTGCCCAGGATAAGCTATAATTGGTGATGATCTCCTCTTATTAGTTGGAGGACACATACAAATGAAATAAATCACAGGCAAGTGAAATATAAAAAAAATTTCAAAAATAATTTATGCAGGTAGGAAGAGAACAAGGTTTTGCACAGGCAAAATCAAGGGTTTCCTTGTAGATATAGCTGAAACATGATCTGGGAAGATAGAGGACAATGACTTCTTCACTTAGCTTTTGTTCTTCTACAACTTCATTTTTAAACTAAGAGGTAAAGATATTTGAATTGCAGTAGACCTCATAGCCTTAGCATCTGCAAAGTTCCTGAGGGGCTATTTTTGGAGAGCAGGAAAGAGTTACCTATTTGGAAGCACAAGCTCCATAAGAGGTTTAACAGAAGTTACAATTAATTTCTGCCAAGGTCAATAGTTGTCTCTGACTGTACTTCAAATCAACACCAAACACATGCAGTTAAAAAAAAAAAAACAACCGACAATTTTATCATGGGATGCTCTGGCTGGCTTGTGTTGGTTTCCCGTAATGAGGTGTGTGTGGTGGCTAAAGGTCTCAAATACAGACTAACAAATAGTTGGTGTATTCTTGTCAGGGAGTGGCTTTCACATCACTACACTTCAGAAATTGGAGCCAAGAAAAGATGTCTCTGAAGAGCTGAAGCTTAATAGATCACAGCAGAAAAAAGCTTAGTTATCACAACATTTGGCATAAATGCACAGTGTTTTGATATAGAATGATCAGTAGAGATTGGATGTCATGCAAAGATGATATACCTAGCAGAGATGATGTATCCAGTGGAGAAGAGAGACATGATGTCAAACAGAAGGTAACTGAACTTTACCAGAAGACCCTGGCAGTAGCAGTCCTGAATTGAAAGTCAGTTGCCTTGGCCATGTGAATGCACTGATCACAAATCTCCTGTAGTGTGTGCCCTTCCTGTGTTTTCTGCATTCATACATATTTTCTTTATATGGCCCTCCCATGTGTGTGGTTTTACAACCTGTGAGAGTATTCCCAATGTTTTCATAGAGGAATTTTTTAGTTGTCATTTACATGCTATGCTATTTGACTAAATGTCAAATTTTGCTTCAAATTAATGTCTCCTCGCTGGCTAATAAGAGCAAAAACATCAGTTGGGGCTCAATAGATATGCTTTTGAACAGATGCCGACCCACAGAGTAACTTAAACTTAAGACAGTTTTTTTTGAGTATATGTAGGAGAGGAAAGGTGATACCCCCAGATGCTGTATATAAATAGTAATATAAATACATAAACATATACATACATAGAAAATAAGGACCAATAAATAGCTCCTATCTAGGAGATGGGAGAGCAATTAGCAACTGCACCAACTAAAGGCTCAGCTTAGACAAAGGCTACCTGCATTATATTCCTACTTAAAATGCCATTATAGTGTAGGAATAACCCTGGGTTCTTGAAAATTATGACATTAGATTATAGGCTCTTGTAGGCTTTACCATATTGGAAATACTTTGAGTCCCCATTGATGGACTGCATGTCCAAGCTCATCATCTATTTGACAGGTTTGGCATTTCAGCTTTCAAAACTTACTATTAAATTACAAAGGGATTACAATCTGTGGAGGTACAGAGAAGAGCCACACCAATGAAATAACAGATCCTTGAAATATTGAAGTATGAAGGATAATCATTTGCTTAAGTAAGGAGCCTATGGCTTGAATGCTGATGTAAATCAATTTAAATGCTGACTTAGCCTGGATCCCTGCTGTGAAATGCTATGTGTATGGAAATTCAAGCAAAGTTTTACTTATTCATGGGCACTAATGACGTCAATTAAGACAAAACATCTTACTTGAAATAAATAAATGATGAGCCTTCAGAGAAGAAGAATAAATAAGCCTCTAATCAACAACTTTCCAAATTACCCCTTCCCTGCTGAAGGCATCATTCACTTTTTAGCTCTGACAGATACATGAACAAAGCCTAACTTTCTAGGAATCCTGGGATTAAGTATTAGATTTTACTGATAAATGTGTCACATTAGCTTATGGAATCTAAGTAAATCAGCCCCCTCAAAATATAAGGAATTGTTTGTCTATTGCTAGACAGTAACACAGAGAGCAGAGGCTCTTGAAAGAGTCTGTGTTGCCAGGTCCTCAGGATCTCCAGAAACTAAGATGTGAATCCATGCTCTATATAGCTGTATCTTCCCAGCATGCCTTATGCCCTGAGACCTTGGGGTGAGTTACATTCTAGCCACTGGGAACCTGATCAAATATCATCATTTGACATTGCTAGGAATTCAGAACCACCAAAGACCATGAGCCTCAGTGAGGCAGAGGCATTAGAAGGCTTGTGCAAAAAAAGGGCTTAGAAACCCCTGAGATCCTGACCCTTAGGAAGTCATCACATCTCCAAATCCTTCATCCTTGGTTTGGCCTCATTTTCTCCTCTTCATAGTCTTTGACCCTATATTTGGCAAGTTTAACTATGTTGTACTTTGTCATGGAATCCCTTGCCTTTGCTCTATTACCGTTCGTGTCCTGAAAAGACCCAATACTGCATTCTTCCTGCCGTCTGCCTTCTCTGCTCCAACTCCCATCCTAATGAAGGCCATTAGAGGTGGAAGGCCATATGCACTGAATGTGCCCAACCAACATCTAATCCAACTTCAGATTAGAGGCAATGTGGCATAGCAGATAGAATATATAAAGACTTAGACAGATATAGATACGTAGATATGGATGAGACACAGAGAGATGATATAGATATATAAAGAGATAGAGACACAAATAGAGAAAGAGAAATGGACAGAGAATACATGTGTGTAATTAAATATATAGATTTATGTTTATATATGCCATGTGGCCATGGGAAAGTCTCTTATCCTCCCCTACTCCTCAAGCAACTCTCTGAAAATTTAAGTTAAAAATGAATTGTATTTCTGCACTTGTGGAGGGAGGTTACAGCAATAAAATGACAGCTCTTGAAATCCCCACCACCACCACCACCACCACTACTCACCACCCACTACCAAATCTCAGACAGCCCTCACTTACAGAACAAAACTTTTGTTCTTCTCTGTTTGACTATTATGCACAATGGCTGTTAAGAAACCTTTCTTCAATTCTGAAGTCCCTCATAACCCTCTAAACCTGGCTCTCAGCTAATAATTTCACCTCTTACTTTACTGAGAAAATTGAGGTCACCAGTTCCCTTGTCTCCCTGACTCCAAAGCTCCAACTCCTTTACATTTTTAAGCATCCTCTTTTGTTCTAGTTTCTGAGGGAGTGTTGGCCCTTTTTTACACCCCATACCCTGCTGTCTCTTTTGAGATCATTCTGTCTCTCTCTCTGTCTCTGTCTTTCTCTGTCTCTGTCTCTCTCTCTCTGTCTCTCTCATTTTCAATATTCCCCTTCGTATTAACTCCTTTGCTGCTACCTAAAAACGCACTCAGATCTCCCATCCTTAAAAAGCATTAAGTTGATTCAGCCATCCTCTCAAACTGTCTTCCACCTCACCTCCCTTTCACCACCTATTTCCTAGAAAGAACTATATACTCTCAATGCCTTCTCACTACTCAAACTCTCAACTTCTCAACCTCTCACCATCAGCCTTCGATACCATCTTTGTATTGCTCTCAGAGTTTACCAATAATCTCTTGATGCTAAATCCAATGGCCTTTTCTCAGTCCTTGACATTTTGAACTTCTCTTTCGGCTGATGACGTTAGGAACTACCATCTCTTCCTGGATTCTCTTTTCTCTTCTTTTTTAAAGCTTTACTCTGTTCCTTGGGGACCTCTTTAGTTCCCATGGGTTCAGTTATCTCTTTATAGATAATTTCTTAGTCTATGTTTGAACTCCAGCCCTTTAACACCAACAGCCTGCTAAACATGTCCACCTGAAGATGTGAAACTCAATCTCTCCAAAATGGAGCTCATCATGATCTTTCCCCCTAATTTCAAACCTCTCCTCTAAGCTTCTCTCTTTCTGTTAAGGGTCCCGTCATCTTCACAACGATTCAGATTCGTAAGACTGGATTCTTCTCTCTTCCCAAGCATCCCATCTAATCGGTTTCCAAATTTTATAATCTCTACCACTATCACCTTTCTCATATCTGACCCCTTCTCTCTCCTACTTGACCACAGCCCTAATTCTGGGTGCCAGCAGCTGTCACATTCAGTACTGTAATAACCTCTTAACTGGTCTCCCTGCTCCCAGTCTATCCCCTCTCTAATTTATCCTCCACCCAGATGGAAGATAACCTTTATAAAGTCCAGGTCTAACCATGTGAATTTCCTGTTCAATAACCTTTGGTATCTTCCTATATCTCAAAAAACAAACAAACTATAAACTTCGTATCCTGGTGTTACGACTCTCCACAATTTGGCTCTAATCTATCTTTCTAACTTGTATCACATATACTCTAGTTTTTAAATGAGTCATCTTCTGTGTATAGAATTCACTGCCATCTTCTGTATCTCTGAATTCCTAGCTTTCTTCAAGGTTTAGCTCTGATGCCACCTTCTCTGTACAGCTCTTCTTGATTCTCTTGGGTTTTAAAGTTCCCTCCTTAAGTTGTTGCTGTCATCTTTAATCATTTTCAGTTGTGTCTGACTCTTTGTGACCCTTTTTTTGGGGGTATTGGCAACAATACTGGAGTGCTTTGCCATTTCCTTTTCTGGATCATTTTATAAATGAGGAAACTGAGGCTAACAGGGTTAAGTGACTTGCCCAGGGTCACACAGCTAGTAAGTGTCTGAAACCAGATTTGAACTCAGGTATTCCTGACTCCTGGTGTTTATCCATTGCACCACCAGTTATGTTGTATTTAACTATCTGTGTACATGTTGTATTTCCCCAGGAAAATGTAAGCTCCTGGAAGACAGGATATGTTTCGTCTTTGTCTTTGTAATCTCATTAATAGTGCCTCTTATATAAAAAGCATTTAAAATACATTTTGCATTGAATTTACTTGGGCATTATATACACTAAAGTTACAGATCAATAACTGAAAGCTTTTTTTTTTTAAATTTGAATTTTCTGTTTGCCTCCCTCCATTAGCTTTTGTATTCTTTTGAGAATAAATGTGTTGAATCTTTGTCATCTAGGTCAGTCATCACTCTATAAAACAGTCACTCAATAACTATGCCAAGAAAAATGTATGAAGTACAATAATGAAGCCCTCTTAACTTAATTTTTCTGGTTCATGTGACTTTTTTCAAGCTCAAATCTCACAATGCAGCACATTGTTCCTGGTTTTCCCCACTCTCCCTACAAGATTACCTTCTGTTTATTTTGTATATGGCTTCTGGAGACAGTTATTAGTATGCTGTTTCTCCATCTAGAATGTGAACTCCCTGAGTACAGGGACCATGTTTTTTGCCTTTCTTTGTATCTCCAATGTTTAATGCAGTGCCTGCCACAGGATAAATGCTGAATAAGTATTTTCTGACTAACTGAAACCATACTATCTTTGGGAAATGACCTAACATGTCTATGATTTGAAATTTCTCAAATGCCAATTAAAAAGTTAAAAATATGCCAGACCATGAATATTTATGTTTAAGACCAAATCTAAAATTTCTAAGTGAAGACACAGGGTACAGCATCTAGTAATACAATTTTAAAAAATCAGCAAAACCAGGAATTTAACATCACATGCTACTATTTATATGGTACTAGCTAACAAAAGCCTACTATACAATATACAGTCTCTACCCTTCTCTAACTCATAATGAGGTGTTCACACACTGGATACTAGCCAAACTGGTGTCCTCTTCAGAAAATGTCTAATTTCACTTTGCTAAGCACGACTCTCTTTTTTACTATGCTAGTCATTAGAATTAAATCATTTGGACACAGTATCTCACTTCCTTTTACAGCAAAGTAATTGGTTTTGTAACAATTCTACTACAGAAGGCAGCCATAAAAAGCAGTACAATAAAAGTACAGCAAATCTGACTAGAACTCATGGATTAGGGTGTAAAAAATTAAAGGAAAATAGTATCTTCTATTCTATTTGACCCCTTCACCCACCCACACCTGCCCAAAGTATGAAATTTGAAATCCACCTCATTGGCATCACCATCATAGGAAGATAGAAGAAATAAAGAAGAGAACAAGACAATGGAGAAATAAAAAATCAAGGGCATCCTGGGGTTTTTACCCTTATAGGAATAGTCAACTGAAATTTAAGCTACTGAATAAAAAATTGGGTCAAACTGGTATACCTTTGGTGCATATCAGTATAAGCCCTGCTATGAGCTAAAAAACAATGAAATATGGAAAGTGAATACTCCAAGAATGAGATGTGCAGCACTCTTCAGGAATTAAGGAGTCAACAGAGTCAATGTGTATAAATGTAACCAGTAAAAATGCCATTTGGAATTCAATTTAGTGCCCACTTAATTGCCAAAATATTCACTGAAAACAGTTATTTGAAGAAATGTCTTTTTGAATCCAGCATGTTTTCTGTTCTTTAAAACAATAAAAAAGGTCATGCTCAATCATACAGGTCTACACTGTAGGAAACATGTGGCAAAGTTTACTGAAAACCTCAACTCTGCTCTGTAGCCACCAGAGAAATGCACTGACCTATTCTTTCCATTCCAACATTCACTGACAGACCCTTCTTTCTTCTTTCCACCAACAGAAAAGCTGACAGAATCCTCTCAGGCATCAGGGTAATTGCTCCCAGTAAAGGATTTGCCAGTTATCTGGGGACATTCTTACCTCACAACCTTATTTAAATGTCTAATACAGCTAGGTGGCACAGTGGATAGAGCTCCCAACCTGGAGTCAAGAAGACTTGAGTTCAAATTCAGCCTCAGATGCTAGCTGTGTGACCCTAAACAAGTCCCTTAGCCCTCAGTTTCCTCACCTGTAAAATGAGCTGGAGAAGGAAATGGCAAACTATTCCAGTATCTTTGCCAAGAAAACCCTAAATGGGGTAATAAAGAGTTGGACACAACTGAAATGACTAAACAACAAACAGATACATACACACCTGCACTAGCTAAGATTCTTACCCAAATATGTCAAATAAAATTAGATGCTCTTTTGGGGATAGGGAGGACATGAGGAGATTAAGTTTGACAGTGGGTATTTGTATATCTCTTAAAGGAAAAATCCACCAAGTCTAAAACAATTAGTAAGCATAGGTTCATGGAAGTACTCCCAGAGCTTGTACTTAGGGAAGACACAGGGGCAAGAGAGGACAGCTGATAGTGGAGGCAATAGAGAAACTATAAAAAGCATACAAAAGAACTTTAAAACACAGCAACCTGAGTCATTTCCTGTAGGAGCCAATGAAGTCCAGTAATATTCACTTTAATGCATGACTTTGTAAGGTTAAATCAACAAAATATTTAATTTGACATTACCTTCAAAGCCATCATTATCAATGTCCCCTAGGTTGACTATGGATTCTCCAAATCTTGCAGCATATATGTCACTTCCAACCAGCTCAATTTCCATTTCTTTCATTTTTGCTTCCTAGAAGGGGAAAAATGTATGACTGACCCTTATATCATTTAGAGTTGTAATCCGATATTACTGTTTCAACATGGATTTTTTTAAGTCTCTAAAACCTAGAGGGAAAATGCATACTAAGGTTTGCCATCTATGTAAAAACAAATTTTGTTTGTTGGTAGTTTTTAGAATTGCTATGTATACGGAGCACTATACTCAGAGGTTTTGGAGGAACTGTTATTATGGACAAGATTTTGGTCAATAAGGAGGAATTGACTACCAAAGTAGAAATAATGAGAATTTGGAAGGAAGTAACTATGCCATTTTAGAGTTCATGATTTACAAGAAAGAGAAAGTCAAATATCAAAATTCTTCAAAAAAGACAAATAGGACCTCATGGCCATAAAATTCACTGGGAAGTAGATCCTAGAGATATGGAATGCTTTCATGAGCAAAATGTTCACAATGCAAATAATGAAGTGATTATAATGGGAGAAGAAACAGGCAAGTTACCTAAGAAGACTAATGATGATGCACAAGGAACTAAGAGACTAAGACAGAGGGACATTAAAAAAAAAAGAAAAAAGAGAGAGACATATACAGGGGTTGGGCAAGTAAACAAGGAAAGTGGTCCTGTGAGAATAGTTTTGGGAATGCTACAGTCAAAAAAATGAGATCTGGTAAGGAATGTCAAGAACAAAAGGGTTTTTTTTAAAACACTATTTTGGCATAGAAAATACCAAAGAATGGAAAGAATCATTATTAAGGACGAATGGGGTAATGAGAAGAGATGATGAAATGAAGATAAATATATTCAACCATTTGTCATTTATGTTTTTTTCTATCAAGGAGAACAACCTTCACCACGGGAAAAACAGAACAAAAACTGTTAACTGAGATTTGAAGCTCAAGGCAAGGAAAATGCTTGCATAATCCCTCAAATTTATATTATTCATTTGCTACTATTGGTACTGAAATCAAATAAAATTAAGATAGGCTTACTTAAAGAATTTACTCAAGGATTTCATTTAGGTAAAATTGCTTCAATACTCTAGCTCTACAGTTTCATCAGGGTATGTACTTACTCTGCTGACAGAAGTTACTGTGAAAGACTAATCTAACCAATAAAAAAAAAACCCAAAGAAAACAAACTTGAAAACTTAAATTCACTAGAAGTGAGATTTGTTTGGTTTCCTTTTATAAGCTGACTATACTTCAACAGAAAGACAAAGGTAGTTAAATGAAGAAGGCTTATATTTTGGGTTGAAATTTTCACAAAATGATTTGAGAGATGCTCAGATTCTTAAAATCTGGCCAATGGCTCAGCTTCTTAAAATCTAACCAATACCACAGACTCACTAGGAATCTCGCTCACCCACTCAGTGTTCTAATAAACTTATCTCTGACTGAAAAAAAAAAGATTTGAAAGAATCTTAATAATGTTATGCTCACTCTTTAGCAAGGTCTCTCATACTCTTGGAAGGGTGAGGGTATATTAAGCCAACCAACTCCCATCCCACTTAAGGTAATGAACAAGATACTTAACCAGGTGAAAACAGTTTTAGGTTAAATCAGTCACAGGTTTTAGACAAAAATAGGAAACTATTCAGTTCTCCTTCTAATTCCACGAAATATTTGAAAATAACCGACATAAGATAACTTACTGAGCCTGAGTTGATGTAAACAAAGACTCTTCCTTCTTCCCTGACAATGCTGTGCATAGGGGCTCCAACAAGTAAGTCAGAGAGGCCATCTGCGTTGAGATCCACCGCACAAACCGAGGCTCCAAAATATGAACCAAGCTGCACAAAGTCAAAGGAAACCTGGTTATGACACTGATTAAATAGCAGTGTCACCATAAAGTTCAGTGTGTAAAGAAAGACAGAAGCATTTTACCTTCTTCCCCTTCATTTCATACAATATATTCAGTTCTGTTTCTTCAACACTGAATATATATGCCTAAGATTTAAAAAAAGTCAACAAAAGTATCCTTAAATTACATTTACATAAGGTCAAATCTGCTTTTCATTTCATTCTAAGGTCTCTTATTTGTCTAATAAAATATTAGCTAACTAAATTTAAAATCTATAGTTTACATTAAGATTGATGAACTGAGGTAGAGTATGGTTAGCTATTCAAGATCACACCTAATAATATTTTATTCGTGTATAGCACTTTATGTTGCCAGTGCGTTTCGCCATCATTATCTCATGAGATCCCCCTATGAATCGGGTATAACTAAATTATCCCCATTTTCTGAAAACCAAGGCAAAACTAAAGCTGAGGGAGGATGACTTGCCTAAGGTGATGGAGACTGGACTAGAAGGAATGAGTTTGCTTCCCGCAACTCCTCCCCAGCTTCCATTTATACTCCATACAAGGCTTACCACTCATATAACCTGTAAGAGGCCCAAGAACAAATAAGAGCTAACTTTTTGTTTCTACACTATGCCATTTAAACATTAAAAGACATTACCAAGTTACCTTTATTTCGTCATAGCATAGTAAGTGAAACATTGCCAAAGTGGAAATGCTGGCTACGTTAAAAGGGGAAAAATTTTGTCTGCCCAAACACAAAACAGAATCTACAACTAGCCTAAAAGGTATGTTCCTTTGTTAAACACTATCATACAGCCTTTATAACAAAAGCATTTATTAATTATCATGTACTAGACACATGGTAATACCATCTAATATTATCAGTGAAATACATTTTTTCTTTGTGACTCCTGAAGGCTTCTGGACTCCCTTCTGCCACACTCTTTTCAGTCTTTATCAAAATTTGTATTTCTTCAGGTAAATAGTGATAAAAAATACAATCCTTACTTTACCAATCTGCTCATGCTGTGGAGCTCCTCCAACTACTTCTGTATGCTGGCGATCCCGAAAATGACCAGCACCAACAGAATATCCTTGGAAGGGAAGAGAAGAACAAAAAAGAAATTTGTTATAGGGAAATAGCTTCAACCTCATAAAACATTTGTAAGTTAGATGGAGGTGGGGAACCTGTGGCCCTCTAGGTTCAACGTGCGGCCCTTGACTGAATCTAAACTTCACAGAACAAATTGCCTCAAGAAAAGGATTTGTCCTGTAAAACTTGGACTCGGTCAAAAGGTAGCACCTAAGGACCTAGAAGGCCACATGTGGCCTCGAAGCTGCAGGTTCCCCACCCCTGAGTTAGATGAATTAAAATATGTCTTTTTGATTTTTAAAAATGATTGCACTATGTTGCATTTCTTAGATTATATACCATCCATACAAAAATAATACATTTTTTATTGGGAAACCAAAGTGTTCTTGAATTCCCTAATCTGAAGCAGTGCCTTAGTTCTGATTTTAGAAAAACACTAAAATGAAAAAAAAAAAAAGAATTCTATGCAACAAGTCAAACAATTATTTTTCAGTTATGTTCAATCATTCAGTCAATGCATCAATGTATACTAGTGCTGTATTAAAGGTCTGAGCCCTGGGAAAAATCAGGATAGTACAAAAATAACTGCTGTTGTCAAAAAATATCAGGACATAGAGATATGAGAAAGAAAATGAAAAAGAAACATTACCAGAGGAATACTAAAATTCAGCTACTTCAGCAATGCAATATGAATCATGAAGCCATATACCCAGAAGTCATTCTCCCTGGTAAAGGGTCTTTCATTATCCTGTAACTTATATCCTAAATTGACTAAAGTCTGCATATATCCTGGATACATCTAAGAAGTCTAAAGCTAATTGTCCCTGAGGAAAAATCTCTAAAACTTTAGGCACTCTCATAGGGTACAATCCTACCCACAATTCATGCCAAAAGTGTGTGTGTGTGTGTGTGTGTGTGTGTATATGTGTGTGTATGTGTGTGTACACATATATATGTATGTATGTGTGTATACAACTTTATTTTTCCCAATTACATGTAAAGACAATTTTTAGCATTTAACATTTAACATTTTTTTTAAATTTGAGTTCAAAATTTTCTCCCTCCCTCACCTCCTTCTTCCCTAAGATGATAAACAATTTGATATAGGTTTTATATATGTGCAATCGTGTAAAACATATTTTCCATATTAGGTATGTCATGCCATCTCACTTCTTGATCAATTGAAACAATATATTAGTATTACATACTTTCAGATCAGATAAAAGCTTTTGGAAATACTTTCAACTGATTGTCCCCATAGGACTCCTTTGGAACTATATGACTAGGCCAAACACAGGTGTCCACACCCCAGAACTAAAGAATGCTTCCTAAGTGTATTCTGGTCCCGTACATTTGTAGTCAGTCATTATACTATCCAAACAGATCTCTTGAGTGACCACTAGATGAAGAGCATTATTTCCAGTACTTGCACATAAATAAAGTTTTCCTTAAGAACAAGAAATACTCAGAGGCCTAATAAAAAAAAAAGATGCTGAAGGAGTATCCTTCCTATAGATTGGCACAATGTTATCTTAGAAGTTTGGTTATCTGCCAACGTCAAACCCTATTTCAACACAGGTGGCTTTTAGAGAAGAACCTAAAAATGGAAAACAAAACCCTCAACACCAGTTCACTTGACTTCTGTCATGTTAAAGCCACAACAACTCTTAGGACCACAGTAGGAATGCTTTCATGTAAATAAAATGTAAATCAAAAGCCAAAAATAATTCAATTAGGATTCATCTGAAAAGATGATCCTTAAGCTTTCTGTTATGAATGTTGATATGCCAGTATGAGGAAGACTACTGTAACATTTTGTACTTGTTCTTAATTTTGGTATATAAAACATGGACTGTATAACTTCTGAAATTATGTCCACTCTTTTAGACTTATTTCCTAGGATAAGTAAAAGTATTAAAATATATTTCAGAGTAACCAAAAAAATGTTAAAATACAAATAGAATTCTATTATTTTATATGGAAAGAAATCAAGACCACTTCCAAGTTTGGCATCATTATTTCTGAGCATAGATGATGGATACTCATATGTAAAGTCAGAAAGCTAAGGAAACCCTGACATGAAATATTCTTGAAAAAACCCCAGTATTTTGGTTATCAACTACAATTTCCTAAGGATTAAGGAAACATTCCTTTCACTGCAAACTTGGAATTAACTCTAACAAATCAAAGATTTCTTGAAAAACCCAAGGAATGCATTCTATTTTATCTATTTTGGCCATAAAGAAAATTTAAGTATTTGGCCTTTAAAAAGAGTTCAACTATCAACAAGTCTCTAATGGAGCATAAGCTCCTTAAGGGCAGGGACTATGTCATTTTTAATCATTGTCCTACTAGTGCTTGGCACTATGGTTTTACCATTAATGTGTGTTAAATTGAATTATGGAGATATAAAGGGAATTTAATATAAAAGTAGATTAGCCATTATCAAACATTCTAAAAACACCATCACTCACATAATCTGTATTCTTGTGAACCTTTTATAAACATGGCCACAGTCACCTAAGAGGAAAGGCAAGATTCTTCCCAATTCTACTTCCCAAGGCTTTGAATAGAGACTCTGGGGTTCTGTGGCCCCACACAGTGATTTTTGCATAAAGAAAGCACTTAACAAGGGTTTGTTGGATTGAATGTATGTGGTTTTGATTTTATTGGGCCCCTTTTTCATCATAGGATTTAATGCATTTGGCAAATGTAAAATTCAGATTAACGTAAATTAAGGGATTCTTTGGCTAAGCAGACTATTTTTGAACTCTGAGCAGTGTTAATGGCTTCTTATATCCATTATGCATCTAAGCCTTAAATCAACATTTATTACTTCTTGTAGACCTAAGGTTATTAAACTTGGGTTAAATTTTTTACAGTACCTAGATAGCTTCCGAATTTAACTATATTCATTTTGTCCACAAAAGCCTTGTACTTGTTTTCAGTAATGCTGTATACAAAGAGTGAACCTGTCCAGTAATGTGATCCAGGGGCTCCCATAACAATTAAATCCTGGAAGGAAAATAAGGCACCTTTATTATCAATGGGAAAATATTTTACCACAAAAGTCTGAAACAGAGACCTTTTATGTGAACATTTAATACATTGGGGAAGAAGATGCTTTTAATATCACAAAATTTATTACAAATAATCAATATAGTGAAGGCAAGGAATGTGGCTGCTAAAGCTTCAATTCAAGGGGCTTCTGGAGAAAGCTCTAAGAATAAACTAGTATGTGAGTTTCACTTCTAGATCAGGAAAGCCAGTGGCTTCTAAAATAAAGGATTACTCAAGATTTAGAGCAGGGAAAGTGTTCTGGAAGAACACAGAGTTGGGAAAGACAGCCCTTCCCTGCTGAATAAATGATTAAGGATTTACCCACAAAACATGCCACAAAACAAGTTTCTTCAAAATTTTATAGACTTCAGTTCTATTTCCCCTCAGGTTTGCCTTTTGAGATTGAAATCCTGAGGTCTTGCCCTGAAATAGCAGCTTAACCCCTTGTCTTGACCACTTTGCAGCTCTTTTCTTGCTGTTTTTCATGTTCATTTCTCTCTCAGAGGCAGAACACTAAACTGGACAGATTTTGCTCCAGATAAATTTTATTAATGGTAAAAATACAGAACTGCAGATCCTCTTCCTGCATTTTGTAATTAATTTTAATATATTTGGGTACTTATGTGGGTTCTATAAAATGTAAAACTTTATCCTTCAGCAAATTGAAGCCTTGATGTGTTCAATATTACTTTTTTTAGAAGGCCATTCAGGATAAGGCATCCTTCAAAGTGTTCATTTATTAGAATTTTCTCAAAATATAAATTTAATTTAAAGAATAAAGATTAGGATATAGGCTACTCTAAGGAAAACCATTTTATGCTAAGCCTTGCACATTTTACAATGTCAAAAAGTATAACATTAGTCACATGAAAAATTTAAGTTATTCATGTTCAGAAAAATGAGGATTCTATATTTTGAAAAGTTTAAACTGTTTTTAAATTTTAATACTTACTTCTGTGTGAAAACTAGATATTCCAGCTTGACATGATGCAAAATGTTCTCCAAATTTTTTCAGATAATCTAAAGAAAAAAAAGAATTAATTTGTGAACTATTTTTAAAATTATACATTTACTATATGTGACTTTATAAGCCCTTGACGTTAAAATTTTTAAAGGCATAGCCTTTTGTTATCTCATGTTTTTAATGAGAGTACTATATCAATATCTTTAAAGATATTAGCCCCTAGGGAACATTTCATTCATTGAATTTATATCTTCAGCACCCATCTGTCTAGTTTAGTGCTCTGTCTCTGGGATTGTGATGAAGACTGAAAAGGTCAAGAAAGGGTCAGCAAAATGGTCAAGACAATGGGATAGGCTACTATACAAAGGCAGGACCAAAATAAGAATTTCAATCTCAAAAAGTAAAAGCTGAGGGAAAATATAACTGAAGTCTATAAAATGTGGAAGAAACTGGAATGCTTTATGATCACATTCCTCATCTTTTATTCAATTGGCACATAGTAAGTGCTTTAAATACTTGTTGATTATCCAATAGACCATCATTTTTTTTTGAAAGATTCAAAACTATTTTACATGCAATAATGTAGGGAAAAGCAGGTTAGGGTTGGACTTCAAAAATCCAAATGCTAGTCTTCATCATACTGTATGACCCAAGGCAAATCAGTTCAAACTCTGTACCAGCCCACCTCCCCCACACCCTTTCAATTTCCTCATTTGTAAAGTGAGAAGCTGGAATAGGTGATCTGAATAAGACCACTACCAACTATGATATGTAGCCCCCAAACATTTCTTTTGCAGAAGGCACAGATTTCATTTTTAGCAAAAGGAAAAGCACCCCCTCCCATTAAATAATTTGAATGTGGTCACATAATTTCTAAGTGAAGTATTCAAGATTGGTATTTAAGATTCCCAACTCCCATTTCCCTTCCATTGGACAGACTACATTTTGTTCCAAATGACTATTTTAATTGAAACTCTAACAACTACAGCAGATGTACTGGGTGGAGATTTATATTATACGCTGATATTGATCATTTCACTAAACATAAATTACCCCTCTCCAATCTAAATGCGCTATATTGCAGACTTAAGGGAGCTTAAAGAAATATAGGTTTCCAACACTCTATGCCTGCCTCAATATGCTAGAAAAATGAGAAATCAAATCAGTGAGGAAAGAATCCAGTGAATTTTACCTTTAAAGATCAGCCAAATGGGACATTTGCTATTCTGTTAATAAAAAAAACCAGATGACTAAATTTCCCCTTTATCAACTAGCTCTCTTAGTTTCAACTATTTGCAATGAGTACAAAAGACAATTCTGGGTCACAAATCTTTCATACAATCTGCTGTCTTCGTTACCCTTTTTTGAGAGGGAGAAGAAAGAATGTAAAGGACAAGAGAGGGAAGCTCTGGGTGTATGTGTGTGTGTGTACATCTCATATGTAAAGGAGGGTGATAGGTGGAATTGGTAGACTGTGGGTAGAAGGATGGCCAAGCTAGCATCTGGGTTGGAGAGAACTCTCAAGGGTGTCCCAAAAGGTCATATATAAGGTCTTGCTTTCCATTTCATGTCAACATTATCGTCTACTCAACTTACTCAAGCCCTGTGTTTGCATTTTCACTTTGCCTGTTGACTATGACTCCTATGAGCTGCCTCCATCCTAGCTATATCAGGAAGGAAAATCTTTTCAAATTCCATGTATTTATGCTTTTACACAAGAGAAGGTGAATGAACCGGAAGTAGAGATAGAGATGTGAAGTAGAGACAGAGATGGTGAAGGAGAAAAAAAAAGAGAGAAGAGGAGGGAAACAGAGTGAGAGAGAGACAGAAAGACCTACACATGGAGCTCTGCTTAGACTCTAAAGCATTCTGAGGAGTGTTGAGATGAGAGGGAAATTAAACAAATAGAGTAATCTTCAAAGAACAGCTTCACTATTTTGTTGGAAGGCTTTGAATGTAACTACAGAGAACACATTTTTATTTCCAAAACTAAATAGAAATGATTCTTAATTATCCACTTCATTGGCAGAACTTTCCCCCTATCCAAGTAGAAAAGAGTTGACTATAATATATTTCTCCTTAAGTACATAAATTTCATTATTTGAAGCTAGCCCTACTAGCTACAGAGTCAAAAAATGAAAGATAAGTAATTTTAGGAGTTAAATCTTTTTAAATAATTAGGGGAAAATATAGAAACAATTTATTTATCCATACAGAAAATATTTTTCAACTTGAGAATCACGAACCAAGATGTATCTACATTTTTAAAGCAACATATACTTGCTTCTCATGATCCAGTATTAGAACCTCACTTCACCTTGATAACAAGGAACCATTCTTTTACTGTGCTCCGTTCGCAAGTCAGGGGGCATTTGAAAACAAACACCACTGGGAAGCTTATAGTCATTTTTCATGTAATATATATTTTTCCATCGATGTCCACAGGCCTGCATGAAATACAAATGCAAATTGTGTGATAGCAGTACCCACACCGTAAATGTTTGCATAACACCAACTGAGGACAAAATGCCAATACATACCACAATAGCTCCATTCTCTTTTGGCTGTCTGGAAAGACTGACCCCCAACCATTGATTGTCTCTTTCTCCCAAACATGTCTTTCCACAATAGTCTCCAACAGGGCTGCCTGTAGAAAGTATGAAAAGATTACTTTCCATAGTTATCATGGAAATAACATTACACTACATCAGCTCATAAAAATAAATACATGAATTCAGGAAAATCTCAAGTGAAATTAAACTCTACTTTTGCTTTCTCAATTCTGTGTGCAGTATTTATGAAACTCTGTGGTGGATGAGGAGTTTTGTGTCTATGTTCTCCAAGCATGCTTACTGTCTCTTGATAAAAGCTATATTAGTCAAATACATATCAATTCTGTCAAATTGTTAGTATGGTAGAGACACAACTTTACATACATAGGATCACTAAAAAAGAGGTGGGGTATCTAGGAGAGCACTAGTAAAAAAAAAAGTGAGTAAAGCCAATTTAAACATTGCTCTGAATAATTTTTAAAAATAATTAGACCAATTGAAAATGTATTTACAAATTTCTTTTAACTATTAACCCAACAAAATAAATTTAAATATCAATTTGATAAGGAGAGAATAAGATACATGATGAATTTGCCTTTCGTTCTATTCCTAGAGTTTAACACAATGATGGACACATAGTAAACACTTCATAAATGCTTGTTGATGGAATGACAGGATCAAAATTCAAAATTTATCTCTGCAATTTACTGTACGGGCCCATTTCCTCCTCTCAGAAATGACATTGATCTAGATGGTCTCAGACATTCCTTCCAGCTCTAAATCAGTGTTGCTAATCTTAACAGAGAACCTAACTACCCCCGATGATGCCTGGCCCTGATAAACTATGCTCAACTATTGAAAGTGCCGAGGATTAAGAACTGAGCCATTTTCAGTGTTAGATAAAAGAGAAGGAGGGAGCCAGTATGATGTAGTGAGAGGAACTAATATGTAGGCTGGGCGGAGCATCAGCAAGAATTTGGTTCAGATCCTGCCTTTGACACCTACTAGTTGTGTGACCACGAGTAAGTCACTTAATCACTCTGAGCCTCAGTTTCTTCATCTGGAAAATGAAGAGGTTGGACTAGAGGGCCTGTGAGGACCCTTCAGCTGCTAAAGCAAAGGTCTGACCATATCACTCCTTCACTCAACAGTGTGCCAGTCTCAAATATCTCCTCTGTTCAGTATTTAGTAAAGCCCTTCACAACTTAGCTCCAACCTATATTTTCTAGTCTTATTATACATTGCTTGACTTCACATACTTTGTGATACAGCCAGACTGGCCTTTTTGCTAGTCCTTACGCATAACCTTCTATCTCCATGCTTTTTCTAAAGCCCACGACACACATTCTTCGCCTGCAATTCTCAAAATCCCTAGTTTTCTTCAAAGCTCAGTTCCCAATGCCACCTTTTCCACCATGCCTTTTCTGATTCCCCCAGCTCCACACCTCAACCCCTCCCCCTACTCTGAATTTATTTTATATATGTTTGTATGTATATATACAGGTTATCTTCCCCTATAGGAAGGGAGACTATTTCATTTGTCCCTGTGTCCTGAACAGAGTTCCTGAAACATCGTAAGTTGTTGTTATTTGACTGAAGTATTCATAAGAAGAGGTTGTTGGGAGTATCTAATCCTACCTCATGCCCCTTTCAAACCACCTTGTATTTAACTGCTCTGCATATATTTGTTTGGGCAGCTAGAAAGTACAGTGGATAGAGTGCTGGCCCTGGAGTCAGGAGGTCCTGAGTTCAAATCCGGCCTCAGACATTTACTAGCTGTGTGACCCTGAGCAAGTCACTTAACCCTGTTTCCTCATCTGTAAAGTGAGTTGGAGAAGAAAATGGCAAACCACTCCACTATCTTTGCCAAGAAAATCCCAGATGGGGTCATAAAGACTAGGACATGACCGAAATGACTCAACAACAAATATATTTGTTTATTCATTTTATGTTTATGCAGCATATATTTATGTGTGTATACAGTGTCTCTCTCATCAGAATGTAAGCTCCTTTTAAGTAGGAATTGCTTCATTCTTCATCATATGTTCCTGGTGCCTGGCACATAGTAAGTGCTTAATAAATGCATGTTAATTGATTCTTCTTTCTCTTTAACTTCCAGAAAATAAGAGTTACTATAGAAAGGTTGGGCAAACTGGTGAGCTTTGATTATTGTTTCTAACTTACATTTTATATCTTATTGATCCATTTGAATGCTCACTTCCATTTCAATTTCATTGTGCCTGAATCATTAGGCTTCCCATACTAGAGTTACTTTTCCTATAAATCTGGCATCTGAACTTGGGGTTCTTAATTGAGGGTCCATGGATAGATTTTGGGGATTCCATGAAACCTTTCCCATGGGTAGGAAAAAATCACATCTTTATTTCTACTAAGCTCTAGCCAAAATTGAGCATTTTCTTCAATTATTTAAAAACATTATCCTGCAAAAGGGTCTGCAAAAAGTTTTCACCAGAATGCCAAATAGATCCACAAAGGCTATACAGGGAGAAAAAGGTCAAGAACCCATGGATTCTAGAGGAAACAATCCACATTCAGAGTGCTTGATTACATGTTTAAGGCTAACATGTTAGAGATGTGATTCCTTCACATTGTTTTTTTCTCCCCCCTGCCCCCACCCCCAGGAGCATATTCTTGCCATATGAAGGCTGGAGGATGAGCCTGTATTTATTTGTTCTACAAAAAGATGTCAAGGGAAAACAACCAAACCCTCAAACACAGCTGCCCTGAGCAAACAGTACACAAAAGCCAATCATGAAGCCATCAAGGAACAATGCAGTATGATTTTACAACAGCATTGTTACATGAGTAAATAGGTAGGAAATTCCATATGCAGGCAGTAGCTGTATTAACCACTTATTACTGTGCCTTGTTGATTTTTCCCCAAAGACTGTGCACAATTTTTTAAATTCAGTGTAGCACAGAAAATGGCAAGAAAATGCATTTAAAGGGCTATAGTTTAAAGGAGACATTTTCATTTTGCTTTTCTACAAAAAGCAATGTTCTGAATGAAAACAGTCTCTGTGCTAAGATCAAGAATGGCAAAATAGCAACTAAACATTTTCTGGTTTGGGCAAAAATTTTAAATACAGGGAATTAACTAAAGTTGATGGTTGTAGCTCCACGATGGCAAAAACAAAACGACCTACATGGTGTCCAATTTCTAGTAGTCTGATTTGTTCATTCAATCACCTAGTTGTTTGAGTCTCAAAAAGAAAAAAAAAACTTATAAATCCCTATTAGATTAGATTCAATTAAATAATTGAGTCAACTCATATATATGTGTGTATGCATATATATGTATACACACATGTATATAGCTGGAAGGGTTCTTATAGAATAATTTGAAAACAGTGTATAATAGCAGAAAAATCACTACCTTTGAAGTCAGGAGACCTCAGTTAAATCTCAACTCTGAGTGCTTGGGAAATATAGACTGTTTCATGTTTTGTATGTGTAGCCCCAGTGTCTGCCCCATAGTATGCACTTCATAAATGCTTACTGATTTACTTGTGTGACTTTGAGGAAGTCATTTAACTGCCATAGGTCCCTGCAAAATTAGGAGGTTGGACTAGATGGACCCTAAGATTCTGTCCAGGTCTAGGCCTACGATCCCATGAAACTGAGACCCTGAAAGGTTAAGTAACTTACCCAAAATCACACAAATACTCAGTGGTAGAACTCATTTCCTCCAATTCCAAACACAGAACCCTTTTTACTGTACCAGTCTCTTCCCCAATACTTCAAGGATAGCCTCCCCTCAGAATCTCAATACCCCTTACATGCAAGTCAACATGTCACCTGTGATGTCACTGATCCTCTTTGAAAATGAAGGCCAAGCAACAACAACATCTTTAAGAAACATACAGGAGTGATTGTGGGATCCCCATTGATACCCTCAATGATTTTACAAAAATATGATCAGTAAGGATAAAAAAAAAACAACTTTGAAAACTTTGTATCATTTAGTAGGAGAAAAGGATTTATTATGATTAGTCACCTAATTAAGAACAGTCATTTTTAACTTGAAATATATTCCATAAGAATAGAAACAGAGGACAACACCATAAGAATTCAATGTAAGATCCTTAAAGCCAAGAATTATTTTTTTCTTTTCTGTCTTGGTTTCTAGCACATAGTAGGAGCTTAACGAATGCTTGCTAAATTTGGCCCCAAAGAGGAAACATGAGAATGTAACTCCCTCTCCTCCTTGAAGAGGTTGGCTGTGGAACAAGTCTATGGCTGTAGAACACTGCAGAAACCATCAAACTGAAGTAATCTATTGGTTCATTTTGCTCAATTGCTTCCACCCCCACCCTATTTTCTTTCTTTTATTAATGTAGGGGTTCTTAACCTTTTGGTGAGTCGTGGATCCCTTTCACAGTGTGGTGAAGCCTATGGACCTCTTCTTAGAATAATGTTTTTAAATTCATAAAAATAAAATACATGGGATCAAAAAGAAACTAATCATACTGAAATACAGTTATCAAACTATTTTTTAAAAGTTTATTGACTCCAGGCTAAGGAGTTCTGTTGTAAGGTATAGCTCTCTGGGGAAAAGGGCCTGGAAACACTGATGTCAAAACAAATTAAATCAATAAAAAAACTTTAAAAAATAAATACATGTTGAATTGCATTTATTCGGACACCCTACTAAAAATATGCTAGCATCAATCACCTTTTCATGGAAGAAAAAAATGGACATTCTTGTTCTCATGACTATAGATCTGTTTTTCTGATACTGCTCCCCTACTTGTAGAGTATGAGGACAATAGCCAAGTCCTTCTGAATTGTATCACAATTGAAAAAGCCTTATTCCAGTTTCAAAGTAATATTTATAGGCCTCTGTCCCTCTTGGTTTCAACCAGAATGAAAAGTAGAAAGCCAAACACTAAGCAGAATGTTATTCATGTGGTAATGTCGTACCTCTGATTTGGCCAAATCTGAAGATTATTGGAAATGTCAAGAGAAAGCTAATTCTGTTAAATTTTCCTGACAGAGGAACATAAGCAAACTCAGATTATCTTCATATTTTATCCAAATGCCAAGCTGAAATGATTTATAAACTGATTTTCAA